CTGGTGTGGTACTACACACCTGAAATAACAGCACTTTGAGAGGCTGACAGGAGGATGGCAAGTTTGAGCCTAGGCTGGGCAACTTAGTGACTTAGTGAGACCCTGTTTCAAAACTTTAAAAAGGCTGGACACGGTGATACGTCCCTCTAATCCCAGGAGAGACTGAGGCAGGAGGACTGCCATGAGTTCGAGGCTAGCCTGAGCTACACAGTGAGTTCAAGGCCAGCCTCAACTACATAGCAAGACCCTGTCTCAAAAACGAAACAAAAACAAATAAAAAATTTAGGGCCAGGGGTGTAGCTCAGTGGTTCCAGTGCCTGCCTCACAAGGGCAAGGTCCCAAGTTTGATCCCTGGTACCAATAAAAAAAAAAAAAAAAAAAAAATTAAAAAGGGAGGTAGCTCAGTGCAAACGTGCTGGGTTCAGTCCCCAGTATCGCAAAACAACAAATGGTTGGAACAGCCTTCTTCGGTAGACCATGCCTGCTCCAACAGTAAGGCACTCCAGTAGCCTAAGGAAAACTATAAAGCTTTCTCCACTGCACCTCCAGATGACACTGGTGGCCACAAGAAGGGGTGGCACGATACTGCTTGCCCTACTCTGGCTCCTTTAACCGAGTCTAAGCCCCCAGGCTGAGAGAAGTCACCACGACGTCCAGGCCCGGCCTCGGGCTTCACTGCCCACCCCCGGATCTTCCTTCATCCAACTGCTGGACACAAGGCTGCCCTCACTTTCTGCCTGACCTCCAGCTGCTCCGCACTGTGTCCTCTGCTCGCTCAAGCTTTCCTCCTTCACCCGTGCCTTGAATAAGCCTCCCTTAGCCACAAATGTGGAATCCGGTCTTTCACGCTGGGCACCCTGACTGCGGGTGAGAGACACGAATCTGTCACCTAGCCAGGGACTAAGCACCGGTCTCCTTCTCTCTCATGTGGTCCCCTGGTGTGGGCAGGGTGTCTGGAGAACCACAGTACAAGGAGTGCGGTTCGTGGGCCTTGCCCCACACCCTGTCCCTCGTCCAAACCCTCATGCTTTCTATTTGGAGTGGTTTGGATGAGGCTCAGCACCTTCCAGGCCTGTGCCGCCATCCCACCTGCCCTCAGCCCCTCGCAGGGCGCAAAGGCCTGGGCACCAGACACCGCTCCACAATCCCCCAGGAGTGCGGACAGAGTCTGCCGCTTTCTAGTGCTGCGTTTATGGCGCTTGTATTTTAGAAGCTCATTAGATCAGGCAGCTTTTTATTTCTTGGGTCTGACCCTGGCAGGATCATTCAGACTCAACTTTCTTTTCTGTAGACTCTACTTTGTTTTCTTCTATGGGCTTTTATTTTCTGTTTGGTTAAGCTTTTGTAAAAACAAGCCTTTATAAAAATATAAAAGTTATACATGTTTTCAAAAAACATTAGAAAACCCAAAAAAGTAGAAAAAATTACTCATAGTTTTACTACCCAAACACAACCATGGTTGGCATCCTGTTTTATTTCCTTCTGGTCTTTTTCCACTCATTATTTTCCCTGTGCTTGCTCCCACCCCCACCAGAGTATGGTTGCTGGCATATTGTATTAATAATTCCTTCCTTGTATTTCAGATAATGATTGCCTCTTAAATCTTAAAAAGGAACTTTTTACCAGATATTTAGGAGCCATGAAAACAAAATGTAATGCATGTGACTTTTTATTCCAATTTGGGCAAATCAGTTGGAGACGATCAGGGAACTGTATTACGGACTGGGTTTAGTTGGCATTGTTAGAAGGGCTAAGGGCACTGTGTTACATAAGAAATGTCCAGATTTTTTAGTCACAAATTAAAACATGTATAAAATGAGGTGACTTGAATGAAACCTACACAGAAGTTCAATCTGAGAGATGAGGGTGCTAAGTTCATTGTGCTATTTTATGTATGTTCATATTCATGTAAAACTTTTCAATGTAAAAATAAAAAGCTAAAAATAATTTTAAAAAAACAGCAACTCTCTGTCCTTCCACCTCCTTTCTCACTCCCCCAGGGTAATGACTTTTATCTCTTTTAACAGATTATTTTGATGTTAATTTCTGTATTTCTATAAGACCTGCTTACTACTTCCAGATATATTAGGCGTTATTGGTAAGCTTTTCACTCCAGAATTTACTCCCCGCCACACTGCCTTTCTCAATGACACCCACACACCACTGATGCTCTCAGGGTAGTTACACTGCAGCTATGAGAATTCACTCGTCAATACCTTAACTCAGTTTGTAAACACGAAGTGTTACTCTTCTTTCCCACACAACCCTTTGCCTTCACTAGGATTCCTGTTTGTTTTAGTTCGTTTGATCTTTCTGTATACCACATACTAATCCACTCCAAACTCTCCACCGTCTAGAACAGCGGTGATGGACAGAGTGCTTGTATTCCTCTTTCGCGGGGGTGAGGCTGTCCTCCACACTTCCCAAGAAGTGCACGTGAGGTACTTCGTGCCATGAGACTGTGTGCATCTGCAAATGCCCTTCCTTACTCTCGAAATCTGTGGGCAGCTTAGCTGGGTACGGACTTTCAGCATGGACACCACAGCCTTTCGGGAATGGACAATGGACTCCATTGTCACTTGGCTTCCAGGGCTGTGGTGGAAAAGTCTGATGATATTCTTACATAGAAACCTAGAGATCTTCTTCCTTCATCTCCAGTGTCCTGAAATTCTATGATATGTGTCTTGGAGGTGACCTCTCCCCGTCACGGGGCTGGCACTGGGCTGAGCTCTCTCACTCTGGAAAGTCACCTCCACAGGAGTGGGGCACTTCCTAGGATTATTCTGTTCATCATCCTTGGTTTTCTGTGGTCTTGCTGCCATGCTCACTGAACAGGTACTGCCTATCTTGAACTGGTCCTTTAATTTTATTTATTCGTGTATTTATTTATTTATTTATTTATTTTTTGGTGGTGTAATTTTTTTAATCTTTTCTCTTTCTGGGACAATTCCTCAACTTCACCTTCCAACCAGAATCTTCTGTTTGTTCTACCCCGTTTTTACTTTCTTTTTTCTTTGGTACTGGGGATCAAACTCGGGTCCTTGCGCTTGTGAGGCAGGCCACCGAACCACTGAGCTAAATCCCTGGCCCCCGTTTTTACTTTCTATGAGTACTTTTTTCCACCCTCCAAATGTTTCTTCTTAAAAGTTAGATCTTGTAACATGGAAACTCTCTCTCTCTCTCTCTCTCTCTAAAAAAAAAACCCCAAAACAATAAACAACAACAACAACAAAACCTCATAGGCTATAAAGGACCGTTTCTTTCCCTATTAGTATATTAGGTCCTAGCTGCTTTTTTTCCTATTTGTTTACTTTGTCCTGTCTTACTTTTCCTTTCGTGTCTCTCAAACAAGGAAGCAGAACCCCGAGGAGGCCTGGTTGTGTGGAGCTCACCTAAGCACCAATACTGGGCACAGAGCTGTGCTGTTGATCTGAAGCCTGGGGTTGGAAGTCTTGCTCCTCAGAGAAAGCTGTCCCTCCTGACTATCCATAAGACCTGGCTCCCAGGGTTCCGGAGGTGGCTGGGAACAGCACCCCGGAACTCCTGACTCTTGGCAGCTGACACGCTGGGGTCACCTTCATGTGTGCTTGCTGTGCCCTCATTCACACAGCCCTTCCTCTGTCCTGTCCCCAAATAAATTGCTGGCCTCTGTGAAGACCGGGGGGCCAAGCTAGTGAATTAAACTTCCAGCCCACACTGCGGCCAGCCTCGTCAGTCACCCACCCCTCCCCACCGTGCAGAGTGACCCGCTGCTGTCAACTCTGGAATTGTTTGCTTCTGGGCTTCCTCTACTGCTGGCTCAGGATTTAGCTTTCTCAGGACGCTAAGTCAGTTACCACTCATCCATCTGCTACCCAGCTTCCAAAATGTTGTTGCTGTTGTCTCCTCTCCCACTCTCTTATTCTTGTGGGTTTGGGTCTTAAAAAAAAAAATCTCTCTACTGTTGTTTTAGTGAGGTTTTGGGAGGGAATGAAAGTGAATGCGTGTATTCAATCCTCCATCCTTATTTGGAACTTCTTTCCTTGACTTATTGACTAATTTTTTAATAGTACGTGTTCGTAGCACCTAATATTTATAATGCTTGTGTGGAGGTGGTACACGTATATAACATCGCAAAATCCCTTTCTTCATCCTTTTCCCATCCCTCTCTCTCCTCCCTCCATCTCTCAATGCCCTTTCCCATTTATTTGTCTTTTATTTTGCTCTCATTTATATTTTGGATTTTTCATATAAGAGATACCAGGCAATATCTAAGCTTGCGTGTCTGATTTATTTCATTTACCATTATGGTCTCAAGGCGAACCCATTTTCCTGCAAATGATTCAGGTTTATCTTCTTTTTTGTGGGGAACCAGATGGAACTCAGAACCCTGAACTTGTCAGGCAGGCGCAGTGCCACTGAGCTAAACCTCCGGCCCTCAGGTTTATCTTTCTTTATAGCAGAGTCGAACTCCATTGTGTTTATAATTAAATATCTTTCTTTTTTACTTCCACTTAATATTTTGGCATTTACATTTCCCATGTTCTTCCATGGTTGCTGTAATCACCCGTAGTAACTGCAGGAGACCTGTTCTCCCCAGCAGGTCCTGTGGCTTCTTTAACGGTGCCTGTGTTCTGGACACATATGTGTTTGCTTTGGGGATGGGAACTAGTTTTTCCTACAGGCCTCTTCGTGTATCTCTACTTTGTCCCCCACCCAGAGAGGGCCGGAGGGCGGGCCTCTTCCCCGTGTTCTCATCGGGGGGGCCTCGTCCCCTCTTCCCTCTCTTCACAGTGCTACGCTGCAAATTCGCCCCCACACCGCAGTCATTCTACACAGAGGGGCGGCGCTGGTCTAAGTGCTGCGTCCAAGAAGCCCTAGCACACGCCCGCCCTTAGAGTCCCCTCGTTTGACGCCACCCCCTACACAGGCGATCCAGGACCTGGTTCACAGCAGTGCCTAGCATGATGCCCAGAATAGGCTGATGTGAGGAGGGCGAACGGAAGCCCACACATTGTTACCTTGCCCTCCGAGGTCAGCGTCCAGATTACAGAGAAGGTCAGCTTGTCAGACATGGGATTGAGGCTGCACAGCTCCTCGCACAGCAGCCTGGGCAGCATGGGGACCACCTGTGAACAGAGGACAGCCGTGAGCACCTTTGCCCAATCCGGAGGGCACAGCTTGGGGAGCTGGCTGAGCTTCCAGAGTGAGCTGAAGATGGGAGCTGTGTACGGGAAGACAGAAAGACTGCGTCTCTGACTCGTACAGGGGCCACCGACGTCAAGGGAACCAGAGCTGGGAAAGCAGGAAGAGCTAGTAACACAAGGGAGGAAAGACCGAGACAGGAGGATCCCAAGACAGAACCCAGCTTGGGCAACTTACTGAGAACTTGGGTCAAAATTTTTAAAAAGCAGGGAGGAATATAGCTTAGTGTGAAGGCCCTGGGTTAATTCCCAGTGTTGTTAAGAACTGGAAGGAGACAGGAGGGAGGGAAGGAGATTGGGGAGGGGGGGGAGAGAGAGAGAGAGAGAGAGAGGAACAGTTACATTTTGCTATCTACAGTCAGTCTTCTGGATCCCTGGGCTCTGTATCTATAAATTCAACAGTCTTGGATGGAAAATCTTACAAAAATGAAACAATCTGTACCTGCCTGGCAAGTGCAAGGCCCTGAGTTCAATTCCTGGTGTGTGTGTGTGTGGGGGGAGCACCTACAGGAGCAGGTATAGGCTTTTTTTCTTGTCACTGCTCTCTAAGCAATAGTGTAACAATCAGCATAGCAGGGGATTCCAATGAACCCAGCCCTGCTGGACTCCACAGCCAGTCCCCATGGAGACCGAGGGGTGGCAGAAGTAAACCCGAAGCTCTGCACCCCAGAATGGCTTATGCTTGGAATGTAACTGCTCCGGCTGAACTACATACAAAAGAAGCCAAAAGCTGAGTGCAAACCTTTCAGAGTCTCACTGAAGTGGAATTAAGCAGTTATCTGACTTAGCGACTGAACATATCAGTGTACCATGCCACACGTTGGGTCAATGTAGCAATAAAGCAGAAAAGTTCATAGTTCCAGGCCTCCTCCATGAACAGTGGCCAACTGCTCACCTATGTGGCAATTTCTGAAAACTAATGGATTTTTCCTCTCACTGATCATTAGACCCTGTAATAAGCAGGTTGAAAGGCATATCCTCTTTAATTACAACACTTGTTTTCAACTTACTTTCAAACGATGACCAGCATATTACTTTTCTCTACAATTCCCAAGATGAAATGAGTGTATCTGTACCTCCCCAAGGTATTTTGCACTTTTCTCTTGCCTTTAAAAAAGTGATGGTACGTAGTCCATCCACCTCGCTTCACACTGGCAGCCATTTCCTCCCTAGACACCCGCTCCCCACACCCCGCAATGCTGGGCCCTGGGCTGACTGACCAAGAATTTCATTAGTGCCAGAACAACACAAACCCCAGTGGATTCTTATCAGTGCGAAGGGTCTGCACTTTTCCTATGACTCAGTACAGCAAATATTTTTGGTGTGGAAAAGCAAATTCTAGTGCATATGGCCCACATCAGTGAGAATAATAACTGTTCAGCATTAAAGTTTGCAGTCTTTTAACATCTATGTTAAACCTAATGAGGACCTGAAAACTTCTAAGTCAGCTACCTTTCAAATGTTTTTCTTGACCCTGATTTTGCACCATCAGCTCAGATGACAATAAATTTTCTCTGTTAACTTGTCTGATGGTGCATTAGAGTGTCACCTAAGTACTTAACATTTTCTTGTGTGTTAAGCATTTTACAAAATGGTACATCCTCGCCTGCACCAACATACTGTATAACGTGGGGAAGTCTTACTATCCCACGATGTCATGACTGACTCACAGAGCTGTGCATGCTTTCAGCCTCTGGACTGAGCCGTGGACTCAACTCTAGCCAACCCCGTCCCCATTCCATACATGGAGGCCTGACCAACAGCTTGACAGCATTTGGAAACAGGGTCCTCAGGAGGTAACTAAGGCTAAATGAAGTCATGGGGTGGGGCTGAGTCCCAGTCGGTGACTGTAAGAGGAGGAAGCGGGAGAGAACACTCTGATCTCTGCGAGTGGGTACAGGAAGAAAGCCATGGGAGGACGCAGCCATACAGAGCTGGGAAGGCGGCCTCACCAGCAACCAAACTGGCTGGCACCCACCTGACCTGGGACTCCAGGATCCAAAAGTGTAAAAAAATATATATATGAACGTTTATTGGCATCCCCCGGTCTGCAGCACATTATAGCAGCCTGAGCTGACTTTGGCAGACTAAATCAAGTTTGCTGCATGTGAATTCCTGTACTCTCCTCTGGGCTGCGCTAGGAGACAGTTGCTCCCCAGTGTGCTTGTTGCAATGATAGCAGTCCAGAGTTCAATTGACATGTTTTAAAAACACAGAAAATAAATATTTCTTCTGCATGTTCAAGGCAGTGTCTTACTTCAACTCATAAAACTGAACATCTGATAACAGAATGTAATTTCTGATGTGATGTTTCAGTGTTTGTTTGAAAGTTATTGCAACTGGGCCTGGACTGAACCCTAGAACAGAAAGAAAACACTGCGGAAAAATCACTGCGATCCAAAGAAAGTATAGAGTTGAATTAATGGTAATGCTCTAGTGTGGGATTCTCAGCTCTGAATGGACAGCACGGTACTGGAAAACGTTAATGAAAGGGGACTTGAGGGGTGCGTGGAACTGCTCTGTCCCATCCACTTTTCTCTAAATCTAAAAGAATTCCAAAATGGAAAAGCTCATAAAGAAAGGAAAACACTGCTTTTATTAATTAATCTTGCATCATACATTTAAATATGATATAAAGCTAGGGTACTTACGCTTATGAAATCTGATGTTTTTGTATCTTTGTGTTTGGGGTTAAGATTTTATTTGCAAAAAGAGTTTGGGCAAAACAAAAGAAAGTCTGGAGACCACTGAGCAGTTGAGGGCAGTGCAGTCTCATGGTGCAGGGAAAGAAGACAGGGTTTGGCTGCTCCAGAGACTGGGGGTCAAATCCTGGGTCCAGCACTTCCTGCGTGACTGGGAAAGGTAGTACAATTCTGGGTCTGGGTTTTCTTAGCAGAACAGCAATATCTGAGGTGCTCAGTAGGTCAGCTCAAGGTGTCCAAGCTCCTGTGTCTCCTTGCTCAGTTTTCTGACAACCTCGTGCCTGGGCACTGTTGGTCCCCCGCATGGGCCTCCACCTGCCTCACCTGCTCACTGCTGCAGCTCTTGCAAGTGGTTCCCTCTTTCTAGAGCCCCTTTCTGGATGTTTGCATCTAGCAAGCTTTTGCACGTCCCTCTAGATGTGGCTCGTGGCCCAGACTGTGAATGCACCCTGATCTGCACCCCCCTGTATTCTTCAGAGGGTGGGGGGCACTTCCTGACAACGGCCACTGCCCCCATCCTCCCCGCTGTCCCATGTCAGTGTCACAGCACTGACCACTCAGAGTCCTGGTTCCTTCTGTAGGTGCTTCTCCCCTCGCCCAGAGCAGGGAACCTCAGAAACAAGGACAGGGCCTGGCCCTGTCCCTCTACTCACCACCCAACACAGAGCCAGCACTTTGTCTGTAGACTGGCCCAGGGAAAGAATGACCTGTATTTTCTATGTTTACTGCTTCCTGCATCGCATAAACATTTTATGGAATACCTGCTAGGCTTCCTTTAAACGTCTTTACATAGAAATGTCAGTACTTGAAGTCCAAGGTAAACTGTTTGGCTGCTGCTCCAAAAGCTCTCCCCACACCCAGTGGCGGTCCAGGTCATCCAAACTGCTTTGCTTCTCACGCTGCAGCAGTCTGATGCCAAAGAACCCAAGCGCTCGTGAAGAAGCAAAATAGGGACTTTTTGGCTAGTACAAATATATTAAATTTCTAAGAGACATTCCTTTTGATATACTTTTCAGCAGATCTTGAGGCAGAGATCAGATGGAATTCTGAGAAAACAGTCTTTATGTCCATACCATTTTGTAAACAGGTGGTTAGGCCACTTTCAAAGGAGAAGGGATTAAGAGGTTATGGCCACACTTGTGGTCTGGCACCTCACAGCCTCTCGTAAATCAAGCCTGGTCCTGCTGGGGTCATCGCGAATGTGCTCTCCCACAACCCCACCTGCAGCAGGCACTGCCATAGATTGGAGGGGCAGACGGCCACCCCCATAATGTCAGGGGGGACCCGCCTGGACCCCAGGCAGTATATCCACTACGTGAGGCCAGCCAGGTTCCTGGGGAAACTCCAATCCAGGGCACAGTGTGCAGAGCACCATGCAGACCCTGGAAAGAAGCCGTCCTAGGAGGAGAACCCTGGGGTGCCAGCAGCTCTGTGCCTGTGCTTGCTCCCCGACCATCTGCATTTCTGTCCTTCTCTTTCCCATCAGCCGCCTGCTCAGCGTGGAGCACTTCCAAGCATACCCAACCCACTCCCCACTGTCCCAGCTCTGCGACCCATGACCCACCTCAGCCCCTGCCCTCTCAGGTGCCAGAACTGGCTGGGCAGCTCAGAGGTGAACGGTCCACATGTGACATGCATCCAGCATGCCTTTCACTGGTCTGCATTAGCTCCTTTCCCATGGCCTTCACGTTTGATCTGGAAATGTTACTGCTCTGCTGAAACCTCCTATCTCACCACCTTCTTGTCCCTTCGTGGCCGGGAACCTCACCCTTTGCTCATGAAGAAAACTGATCATCAGACTCGAGTCCTCCCAAGTCCCCTTCTAGTATTTTCCTTCAAAGTTTATGCCACGTCTCCCCGACTTTCCACGTGAGCCTGGGTCACTGCTATCTCACGAGTGTCTCTCCAGCCCACAGCACTGCCCCGTCTGCCCACTGCCCTCCCCACAGTGAGCTCCCTGGTGTCCCCCACACCATGTCAGGTTAGAGTTGCCTGTCTTACAGACAGACACCATCTCTTCCCCAACCTCCTCATAGCTTGTGCCTCCCACCTTCGTTCTCTTCCCCACCCAGGGGAACACCTTTCAATTACAAAAATTACATATTAAATGTTTAGGTGATACCAAATCAAAATGTGAACATTCGAACATCATGAGGCTCCAGCCCTTAGAATAAACAAGGTTGCCATGCTGGTCTAGAGCCTTTTCTCCGGTGCAAACATGAC